GCATTAATTCCGATGACATGAAGAAGAATGTTCGCCCCTCTTTTCTTTGCGTTTTTTTGTCGTAACCAGAAACAATCATGTTGATCTCGAAACTCTGCCTAAATACTTTCAAATTTCTAAGCTAAATTTCCCTTTAAACTCAGTGGATCAGGTTTGTGACATTGGATTATTCATGATTTTTTATTTACGTCGAACCTGTCAGTCCAGAAACTTCAACACTCGATTTCAGCAGTCCGGAAACTTCCACGCTTGATTTTAGCGAAAATGAGGCTGCGAGAAAACGTGGGCATATTGACGACTAGCTTCTAGAAATTTTTCATCACAAATACTTCCTGAAATCTTCACACACACACAATATCATGACAATAAACAGATTCTCGGGTTCCTCCTGTACAAAGTGACCAATTCTGACACCATGTTGTATAGTGTATTGTGCAGTATTGGCCGTAATAAAGAGACAGCAAATTAGACGTAACAGTTTATTAGGAAGCCATGATGAAAAGCCCATAACAGTAATGACGTCACGTTAAAGTGACAATGTTAAAGAGGCGATAACACTACAATTTTCTCATTCGTCAGGCGAAGCTCTGCCATTCACTTTATCAATCGCCTGTCGAAACCCTGTCATTCCGTCATTCGTCCGGTGAACCCAAAGCCCAGCTCAGGCATGGGGCCCCGCTCCGGTTAAGCTGGGCTGTGAGTGAACCCGTGTGATTCTCCGCCATTCGTCAGATGAACCCATGTCATTCTCTGTCATCCGTCTGGTAAACAGGTATCATTTACTTTGTCATTCGTCTGGTGAACCTGTGTCACTTGCTTTGTCATTCTTCTGGTGAACCTATGTCATTCACTTTGTCATTCGTCTTATGAACCTGTGTCATCACTTTGTCATTCTTCCGGTGAACCTATGTCATTCTCTGAAATTTGTCTGGTGAAGCCGTCTCATTCAGTTTTTCATTCGTCTGATGAAGCTCTGTAATTCGTTTGGTAAACCTCTGTCATTCGTCCGGTGAATCTCTTGTCATCCAGCTTATCATTCGTGGTAAATTACTGTCATCCACTTTGTCATTCGTCTGGTGAACATATGTCATTCTCTCTGTCATTTGCCTGGTGATTTCTGTCATCCTCTCTGTCATTCGCGTTTTGAAGCTCTGTCATTCTTTTTGTCAGTTGTCTGGTGAACCTCTGTCATTATCTTTGTCATTCGTCTGGTGAACGTGTATCCTTTTCTGCCATTGGCCTGGTGAACCTCTGTCATTCGTATGGTGAACCCGTGTCATTCGGCTGGTCAACATTTGTAATTCTTTTTGTCATTTGTCCGGTGAACCCGTCTCATTAACTTTGTTATTCGTCTGATGAAGCTCTGTCATTCTCTATGACATTCGTCTGCTGAACCTGTGTCATTTTCTGTCAACGGAGGAATGCCAAAGTGAATGCAAGGGGTTCACCAGATGAATGACATAGGTTTACTAGACGGATGACAGAGAATGACATGGGTTCACCAGACAAATGACAGAGAATGACGCCGGTTCAGAGGACAAATGACAGCTTCACCAGACGAATGACAGAAAATGACAGAAATCACCAGATCAATGACAGAGAACACAGATTCAGCGGACGAATGACAAAGTGAATGACAGAATTCACCGGACGAATGACAAAGCTTAACCAGACAAATGACAGAGGTTCACCAGACCAATGGGAGAATGACACGGGTTCACCAGACAAATGGCAGAAAATGACATGGGTTCACCGGACGAATGACAGAGCTTAACCAGACGAATGACAGAGGCTCACCAGACGAATGACAGGATGACACGGGTTAACCAGACAAATGGCAGAGAATGACACTGGTTCAGAGGACAAATTACAGCTTCACCAGACGAATGACAAAGTAAATGACAGAAATCACCAGATGAACGACAGAGAACACAGATTCAGCGGACGAATGACAAAGTAAATGACAGAATTCACCGGACGGACGAATGACAAAATGAGTGACACAGAATGACACGGGTTCACCAGACGAATGACGAAGAGACTGACAGGAATCACCAGACGAATGACAGAGTGACACAGATTCACCGGACGAATGGCATAGTGAATGACAGAATTTACCGGACGGACGAATGACAAAATGAATCTCTTATCATTGTCTGTGTCACTCGTCCGGTGAACACGTGTCCTTCTCTTCGTCAGTCTTTTCATGAACATGTCAATATCTTGGTCATTCAATAAACAAAGCTAGGAACTATTCCATACATAGTACCGTATGTTCCATAGAATTAAACACAGCAATTGAATCTTGATTTTTATATTAGAAAATAACAAATAGTATCTAGACTCTATGTATCATTTCTGTTATTAGATTGATTTATCTTCAATATAAATGTAACTCGTGGATCGATGGAGTAAGCATCGGATCCACCACTAATAAAAATAAATTAAGTAGATATTTATTAAACTCAATACTGTAGTTGAATTATGTTGGCTGAAGGGTTACAGTTATTGCTTAGAAATTCCTTGTCATTTGGTTGTCATTCGTCAATCTTGAGTCCCTGAAATGCCATTTCCTGAATTTTGCCGAATTCTGATGGCCAAAAAATATTTATAACAGGATTAAAATTGATGAATTCATGTTATTTATTAAGAATTTTGCAAGAATGTACAAAGTACTGTGAATCTGTAACAACTTATGAAAGTGATAATTACATCATTTACATGGGCCTATATCATCGATATATTGTTGTGGTGAGTATACATAAATCCGCAAAGATATGACTATGTCCTCATATTTTTATCAGGCGTCCGCGCTTAGTCAAGTTTGACCACCGATCGGCGATTTTGCCAAGATCGATTGTGTCCGTCAGGTTAAGCTCACATGCAAGAGTCAATAGATCATTGAGGGGTTCCTGTTTTAATACTGAACGCATAAACAGTTTTATACTAATTTGAGCTTTGAAAAACTGGCGCGTATTGATATCTAATCAAAGCAATCAAACCTATACACAGATATATTCATATTAAACATACATTATGCAAGAGCTAAATCTGCATATTGCAGGTCTTTCTTTAGGCCTGAAATGTTATCTAAATTATTAATTAGACATAAATTAACTGATCCAGACCATAATCAACTCTCGATGCCATCGCTAGCTTGCGATATTTAACGGATTGGAATACATTTTTTGAAAAATAATTAAACGTAAAAATGGATAATCAAGACTTTGTTTTTCATCGTACCGACTTTAGTAATGATGATCGAGGCTAGCCTAAAATTCAAAAGCTAATAATTTATTTCGGTTCAGAGTGGAGCAATCTGACTGAAATTTTTAGCATATTCTATTTACGTTATCTATTTTTTTAACTATTATAGGGAGAACTGTCAACTCTTTATCAAATTTCTCATAATGTCCCTTTAAGTGTTTGGAATTTTCCCCTCTATTTTGGCATAGTTTGATTACCGCATTTATTCATTTAGTCACCGATGCATAATTTTAAAGCGGGAATTTCATATTTTCTAAGAAAGTCAAAACATAATTATTATTATGTCTTTTGCTCAATAGGTTATTAACTCATTATTATACGACCATGGGCATTATTTCCCACCCTTAAAAATCATTGACACAGGGAATAATAACACAATTACCTCCCTTGTTTTCATATTGCCTCCATGCATTAGCTACCTTCAAACGTTGGAATTTTGCCAATTTCTCAGCTGGCAACAGTGAATTATAGGATTAATAGGATTATTGTTTAACAAGGTAGGACGGTTTATGGATACCATCTATTTTAAGGCTTTATTTTAATAAATTTTAAAAATATAACTTAAAAATATGAAATTGCAGCTTTAAGACTGACTGCACTTATTGTAAGACCGACTATCCCCCCCCCCCCCCCCGCCAACATTTACGCCCCCGAATGGATGTCTTAATGCAATAAATATATTATTTATACATCTCATTCCATCACAGAGGTTTGCTCCTGTGTGTCAATTTCGTAAAGGTTTAGCTCCTGTGTGTCAATTTCATAAAGCAAAAGTCTCCCATTAAAACAATTATTCTAAATATGATAAGTCCTCAAATTCCTTGTTGTGTAACCATGTATCTTGCTGAAATAATAGAAGTAAGTGTTCATCTCAGTTACTAAGTCACTCATAATTGAAGAAAGAAATTACTTAAATGTATTTTGTAAACCTGTTAAGCAAATCTAGCAAACATATCCCAACGGTTCAATATTCTGAGTTAAAAAAATCTGACATGGTAAATAGGCTGTTTTTTTTCATATATTGCATTTGATTTCGGTATTTAAACCCACTTGTATTCACAGTGTCCTATAACATATGTCACTTTAAGCAACTGTCTATATTTTTTTTATCAATTATTAAAATTGAAACATATTCCTCCATTTAATATTGAATAATACTAGCATAAGTTTTACTACTATTTGATCTTACAGTACACTAAGTCTGCATATACATAACATGAATATATTCATTATACATGTCATATAATAATGTAGATTTAGAACTGTCTGAATTAGAATCTGGAGAAATATGAACTATAAGAAAGAAATAACTCTTAAAATACCAACATTGAACAGTCCCTGAGGGTTAATCCATTTTACTATTGGTCAACTAATTAGAGCAATGGAACCGTGCCAGTTTGACTTGTGACCTTTAGCAGAATATCGGAACATGTAATCGGTAATTAGAATGTGATTAGCTTGGCGTGATCTCGATGGTGGGATATTCAGTCAAATATTAGAGCAGAAATCTCTTACAGGTCTCAGACAATAAATTCTTCTAATTCTATAAATGAATGTCTGAAAGATGGTGCATTCAACTAACTTACAATAATGTCAATCCATGTGGCTGGCATTATTTATTCGTGAACCTGATAGACAAATAAGTAGTAGTCCATACATCTACTTAAAAATCTGACTTTAATTAAAAGTTCAATTAATTCAAATAAAACAGAAAATCAGAAAAAAAAACAAACCTGCATACTCTGTTGTAAATAATAAAGGTGGACTCGATCTCTGATCACATGGACTTAATGCTCCACACTGTCCCGTTGACCCTACTGACTCACCGACTGCAGTATCCATATCATATATGTAGTTCACATTACTATAGTTCGCAGGCGGTATTTCTGTCTTCTGTGACAATAAAACTGAGGATATCAAATTTCCCCAAATGTGTGTCGTTTGAAAACATGCTAAAAATATTCCATGGAAACGGAACATTTCGTGGTCAAGTTGGTCTTTCGTAACTCTCGCTGAATCAAAAGCTAGTTTTAATATATAGGATATTTCAGCACTCCATAATATGCCTTGTCCAAATCCTGCTAACAAAGCTGTTGGAATTAAAGTATAAAATCGTGGATAAAAATTTGCTCCAAACCATATAAGAAAACACAACATTCCAATTGAAAGCGCCCATTTAGCCGTAAAAACATTTATAACGATTGGAGCAAAAATACACGTTAAAAACATGGAACCATACACACACATCATCGTTATTATTCCAAGATGACTGGAAGAATTAATAGAAGATTGTAAATTCTGAATTCCACGAAAAGCTGAGAAAATTAAGATAAAACCAGCACATAAAACAATTAAATTTTTCTTAAAAGTAAAAACAATAACAGAAGGTATACTGCTTCCCTGTTCACTGGAACACGGAGTTGCTTCATCCCCGACATCGCCCAGTGTTGTCATATGGGATACGCTGTTGTGGAACTGTTTATGTTCGTCAATTCGTTCTAATGTAGGCATCATCTTCTCATGAACCTTTTCATCATTAATATAGAATGTCAATTCTTTGTTTTTAATTTCGTTACCTTCTGTTTGTTCGGGGATATCTTTAAGTTCTATTTCATGGCTATTCCTTGTAACTTTAATGTAACTTTCTTTACGATTTCTCTTCATGACATCATCTATAAAATCTTCAGATTGTTCCCATGGTTCCGATTCAGAATTTACATTCCGTGTAGCGTATCTATAACTTTCACTACGTTGTCTGTTGCATTGTGTAGCGAGGGTGTAGCTAGGTCTTCGAGGCCTGTATAGACCAAAACCAAGACTTACACTCCCAAAATCCCACGGTGAAAGTGACATGATGTCTAAGTTGAAAGATCAACAAGGAAATATTGGTAGCCTAACATTATAGACTGGTTTCTACGCCTCTGAAATAGACAAAAAATAAATCAAATTTCTCACTGCATAATCGACGCTAAAAAAGTATTCAAATTGATTATTTAACATTCAATTATATGGTAGATAATCTCCTGGCTTGGATCCAATTCGATTGAAAAAGATGCTCATTAAAATATTGTACCAAAATGGTGCTGGCTTGTTTGTAACTATTCAAAAAAAGTAGGGGATATTTGATTTTTAAGTGTTATTAAAGTCACCTAATGAAACTGACGAAGAAACAAATGACAAAATGAAATGAAGTTCACATTCATCGATTTGTTCCAAATGATCGTTAGACTAAGTAAGGCACAGACTGACCATTATAAGGGTAAAATGATACCCGGGGTCAAACAGCAAAGTTACCACAGCATCACAACCAAGTCAGTAACGGGTAAATCCTCCTCTGTTTGCCAAACAAGCATTGATCCGACGTGGCATACTCCTAATGAGACGTCTAAGGTCATTTTGGTCCAGATTGTCCCATTCCTGTTGCAACGCAGCAGCAAGTTCTTGGACATTGGCAGGACGTTGTTGACGTTGAAGTAACCTCTGTCCAAGCATGTCCCAGACATGCTCGATGGGGGAGAGGTCGGGACTCAGTGCTGGCCAAGGTAATGTGGTGATGTTCTGTTGTTGGAGGTAACCTGTAACGATCCTGGCCCTGTGACATCTTGCGTTGTCATCCTGGAAGATGAAACGGCGGCCATGACGTCGTGCGAACGGCACAACATGGACTGCCAAGATGTTGTCCCGGTAGTACTGGCCTGTAACACGCCCTGCAACAACATGTAAAGCCGTTCTTCCAGCAACAGTGATGCCTCCCCACACCATAACAGAACCACCCCCAAATCGATCATGTCTGATGACACGATTTCTCAAGGCCAAGGTACGGATAAATCGATCCTGGGCTTGAGTTGTCGCCCTTGGTCGATCTGAGCGTGGTCTGTCCTGTACAGATTGTGTATCACGGTATCTGGACCATAGCCTGCTTATGACAGACTGAGAAACATTCATCGTCCGCGCCACAACCGCCTGTGTTGTGCCGATCTGTAGCATGCCAAGGGCACGTAACCTTTCATTTTGGGTAAGCCGACGCATATCAAAATTTGTTTTCTGGTCACTAAAACAATTAAACTGATGTCTCCACCCTGGAATTCAATGCCACAATGACTGTAACATTCAAAGTCAGAGTCGTGCAAATCTTGGGTTGGACCCCCATGATGATCCCAAGCATCACCTGCATTCCATGCGGTAGCTATTGGTGCGTTTGGGCGTCACATGTAACTGGAAATGTTTCTTCTGTTAGGTTCTATAGTGACTATTTTCGTAGACATTTGCATATTTTAGTATTATGCCCCCAAAATCAAATATCCCCTACTTTTTTTGAATAGTATATTATGTGCAGAGAAATGTTCATTTAAACAATTTTTGGACAGAGATTAAACTTTATAGTTTGTAAGGTATTTAAAATCCTCCAAACAATGATCACTGGCTTTAAAATAATAAAGGGAAGTCGGATATTGATAAGTGGAAAATTTGGATATGAATTTGAACTGCTGTTTACCAGTATTTACATATCATAAAATTAGATATTTTAGATATATTCACTCTCAAATACTATTCAAACAGATCTGGTTTGTCTGTATAGTTATTAAAACTAGATTTTAAATTCCTACACTCATTATCTAATAAAGTACAGTGTACCAAACATTTCTTGATATTAATTAAATACAAGTTTTGTACAACATTGTCATTTACAGTTATAAGAAGAGGCATCAGGTATTTTGACAGTATTACACATACTCTGCCTCACGTACAACACATGTATTACTTACAGTTATAAGAAGAGGTATCAGGTGTTTTGACAGTATACACATACTCTGCCTCGCGTACAACACATGTATTATTTACATCTAAAATGCAACTACAGCGAAAAATAATGTCGGAATGAATTTAATTTAATACCCAGCCACTTAGTAAGTCTGCTTAATCCTTGTATATTATACCGGGAATCCTCGTATTTAAGCCCTGCCGTTATTAAGCCCATGTGCTAAATAACGAGTTTAAATTTCGAATTTAAGCTCATGAGCTTAAATGTAAAATTTATTTTAGAGTGGTCTCCCTTTTAAATTTTCAAACCACTTGTGAACTACAGGCTACGAGATGTTCTCCAGTCACACTCCGGTCTTGTACTGCCAGGCGAGGATCAACTCAGTGACGACCCGTTCGAGGATTCCAGTTCAGACGAGGACATTGATGAGTAAACGATGCTCACCATACTAGTAAAAGCTAGCCCTGAGATCTGATTTGTTCAAAGAACTTTGAAATTTAAAGTGTACGGACAGTTTCTTTTTGTATTTAAGAACATTTATGTGACGGTGTATCACAATTGTGTTTTAAAAGCCATTTTTGTTGATGAATTTGATTCGTTCCATTTAAAATTATAAAAAGAACCCAAATGTTTGTCGTGTTTTCCTCTTTTCGAGTTGAAGCCCTGGGCTTAATTTCAGAAGAAATGTTTCATCACTGACATGGTCAAATTTGAAATTAAGCCCAGGGCTTAAATACGAGAATTACCGGTATATATCAAGATATTTTACTGCAACAACATTCCTCTCTCACAGACCAGCCCGATGACAAGTGGTATCAGATAGTCAGTGGATGAAAAATCAACTTTATAGTCTGTCAAATCACAGTTCAAAAATAAAAATTCCTTTTTTCTCTTCACGTCTAAGTTCATGTCACTGACAAGCCAATGACGACTTATCGTCACACATAATCTAACAACATTTTTACGTCTGACAACCAAATCCATAACAAACTCATTCAAAAATTGAACAAAAAAACACTTGATTTTCGTTTTCGGTAGGCATTTTGTGACTACAATGAAAAGCGTAATCATGTAGTTACAGGAGTAGTAAAAAGCAAATTGGAATCAACGATACGTTTGATTCGATGAGACACGAAGACTTTTAAATGTTCTACTTATCGACACAAGGATTAACACTCGACATCACCTCAACAAGAAAATACTTTCTTTTCATTTGAACGTCTTCAAAACAATCTCACTGTCTGAAACACTTGTCTTATATAAGACTTGACTGACTTCAATCCATTATCTCTTCTCAGCAAATAAACAATTTCCAATAATTAGGCAGGCCGAGGGTTGTTTATTTTACAGATATAACTTATAAGCCAGTTATTTCATGGTTTTCAAATAATTTTCCAGAAAGCAATCATCACGAACTACAGACAAAGATAAGTTAAATTAATACAAATTAACACATCATTCCATTAATCACAGAAAGTCAGCGACTTTTAAATAGATAAATTTGTACATTATCTAAACTGGTCAAAAAATGTTAAAATAAATTACAAGATTGAAGACGTTTTTTTTTTTAAAAAAAATTAATTTTGTCCATAGGATTATGATATTCAACAACTGTGAAAAATATAAGATGTCAGAATAAAGATTAAATACAGAATTTATGATCACACCCAAAAATTAGGCTAATAGATAAACTGAAGTTGTGGCCACTTAAAGTCTACATTTATTTCTATTGGCTTCTATTGATTTCACATGGCCATGTATCTGTATGTGTCTTACGCCCAAAAAGTCATAATAATTCTACCGTTTTGCATGCCACATTTGAAGATAGCCCATTCTTCATCAAGTTTATTTTTATACTTGAATGAACTAGATTGCATAATAACGTTAAAATAGTATTTTAATAGCATATGATTTTAATCTTTCTATATATGTGAATGATTTGGCTTCTTGTGCCTTTAATTAAAAGTTTTGATCATGGACACACATTCCAAAAAGAAAAAAAGAATACCTAAGTCTTGAAACATGTAGTCACGGGGAATCTCTCAGGCCTTTTAAAAACTGTTTCTCTCCCCATTAGTTCAAAATAACATATTTGTCAGAATGAAGAAATATGTGTTCAATAATTGTTAGAAAATAATTTGCTGAGCTGAGGAAAAATCCAATTTCTATATAAACTTAATCCAATTATTGTTGAGAAACAAACAACACGAAGCAAACCCGGCTTGTCAACTAACTGTATTGTTCTGAAGACCGGTGGCACTCGTTGAATTTTTCGATCAAAAGGAAGAAACATAATCTATTCTGTATCGAGGCTCAACGGCACAGATAATTGAGATACACGATTCTAAATCTTCTTATATCTCCAGACTTCACAATAACAAAATCTACCGAATTCACAAAACATTTTGAAAATTATCAATGATACAAACCTCAACATTGGTGATAGAAGATGGTGGCCATAAGTCAATTTGTGTGAATTACAAACAATGGTGATGTAGACCGGTTAAGATGAATGGTTGACTAATTCTGTATTTCATCCCACGATTATCATTCCCCTATCTTTACATCTAGAAACTAGTCCCATAGCCGTGAGTCTAACACTCTTTTATCGATCGTGATGGAGCAAGGCACCCGTTCAACCATTCCGACAGTGCCAAGAAGTAGTAACATCCGACTGATACCAATATCCCACGCCGCACTTTCGCGCGTTTTTCATATACGTGATCATTTCTCAATTTTAATTGTAACCGCCCTAGTTTATTTGTTTCGAGTTTAGAGAAACAGTCGTGAAATTTATAAATTTTAAAGTGCAAACAGATATTATCAATGTTTGATGATATAGTTTTTTTTTGTTTTTTTTGCGCCTATTTGGATGGATGGGTTAAGTAACTAAGTTTTTTTTTAATTTTATACGGAATGGGAGTGGATTAAGCCAGAGCCTGATTGCCAAACCCTGCGCAGGACTCACTGAGGGCCTTAAATTATATGCCCTGTAATCCAGGGTCAGAGGGTTATCCAATTCTGCATGCTTTATTGATGAATATTTCATTTTATCGCCTATATATTTTATATTATTTTTTATTATATTACACAGGAAGGAACTAGTGTTGTAGGA